CTCGACTCGCTGCTAAGGAACAGAGAGCTGCTCCGAGCCCAACAGCAGCAACAACACAGCTGAAACACGAGGGAGTAAAATTACCTTTCGATCCTCCCTTTGTTTAGGTAGGGAAAAAAAAATACTTTTGTTTCTATTTCTTGCTCCTCGCTTCCAATGGAGACGGGGGCAGGAGGGTAATTTGGCCTTTCTATATCTGTGAAAAAAGGGCCAAACGGAAGGGTGTATTGGTCACTGAAAAGTTACGCCGGTGGTGGATGGGGATGACGTAGAATTTGTTTTATTCTTTTTTTTAAATATATATAATATGTATTTTTCCTTTATTATTATTTACGCTGTGGAGGTATGTTTAGTGGAAATCGGGAACTTTGAACTTTGAAGTGTCCAAAACTTGGGATTGAGGTAAAGCGATAATAATAGCTTTAAAAATAGTTTATTCATAGTTAATTATAATCAAGTTCTTAAAGATGCCTCTTAAGAGCCATATATAGAATAGAAAGTGTGTTGTGCTTGCCTTCTAAAGAAATACAAACTTTTTTTTTGGAAATAAAGTTAAAAGTATATGGACATGAGATTTGTTTCATCAAGTGTGTACACTTTTATAGTCCATTACTATTCATAAAATCATAAATGGTTCTGGTGTGAATTAATGTGTCTTTTTTATTCGAACATGTCGATCCAACAATTGATTCGCCAAAAAAAAAAGTACATAGATCTAATAGCATTTCATTCGAGAGGAGGGATGGATCATGTAACGCATAATTCATATACTTAAGAGTGTAACTTAAATTGGGTTGCAATGCACTTGTCAACCACCTAAATCAAATATGTATAGTTACTTAGCTAGGTTGCTTTTGGGGACTCTTGATATATATTGTTTAATTACTATGATGATCATCTTGTTGTGACTACTCGTGCTAAAAAAAACAAAAAATTATTAAGCACTAACCACTTTGTCTTGATTGTTATAAACCAGTTAACTCGACTTGTTGGAAGAGATGACAGTCAGATTCAGTTATGGATTTTATCACATTTACTAACAAGTCACTCAAAGGAAAACAAATCATATGAGATTAAAATTTGTACAAGTCCGAATATGATGTACTTAACAAATGAGGTCATCGAGATTCGAATAGAAGACCTCTAGATTAACAAAAGACCCAATATCGTATTAAGAATCAACAGTTAGTCTCAATAAATTGAACGGTTGGTCGTTGTTCAATTATACATCTAATAATGCCATATACTAATCGTGATTAACGTACTAATGAGTAATTTATTTGGTCAAAAATCGCTTTATACCCAGATTGGTTATTCGCGTGGGCTGTTCGTTAAGGTCCAAGCTTTCTTTCTTGGCTGGATGCATGATTGCAAAGTGGCAAGAATACTAGAATAGTGCTTTTCTTTTCCCCCTTCAACACTGGTTTCCGAACTCGGATCAACTCGAGTGACTACATAATTAAGCAAATCAAAATGTTAATGAAAGTCGGTCAATAGTGTTTATTATTGTTTATGGTGGCTGCAGATGATTTCTCAGATAGATTCGACGCTACTAGCTAACTCATGCTGTGTACACACGTACCTGCTCTGCAATTTAGTTCGTTCATTATTGCACTAGAATAGGAGGTTGCCATTAAGACGCAAGCATAGTGTTTTATTTATTGACGAGAAGATCATAATATATTTAGTTGACCAACTGTTACATTATTAGTATATCGCTATTATAAAACGAACTCATATAAGCGAGATATATTATAAAAGATAGCATATGGATTGCGTTTACACTTATTAGATTTATCTTAATATATTTTAACGAATCAGAACAGTCGATTATCATTGTTAGACTAAGCAAAACCGTATCTCTTAATTTGGTTAATAAGTTCCAAAAGTTGAATTTTATGTTTTGAGTTACATAGTTATGGACTGAGATTCACTCATTAGATATTAGGGTATAAATATTATGACTTAAACTCTACTTACTCCATAGTCTAAACAACAAAATTCATTGAACGTACAATAAAATTAACGTATGTCGTCAGACTTTCACTAAACTAAACTTAATTATATGGCAAAAACTAGCATACGCCTGATGTGTCATAAACCAGTTGGTCCCAACAACTCGAGTTGTTGGGGGGAAGGTTATGTTGGATCTTATAACACTCTCTAACACGCTCTCTCAAACGAAATCCAACCCATAGGCTTGAAGTTTGCACAAACGATCATCATACATTATGTTTTAATCAATTGTTAATATTGGGAGTATTGGAAATTCGAACACACGATCAGGCCAAATCAGCTCTGGTACCATGTCATAAATCAATTGATCCCAATAACTCAAGTTATTGAGAGAAGGTTGTGCTGAATATTATCACTCTCTAACACTAATCAATGTACGCAATATAACGTGCTGCTGAGAATGAACATACTCGAACTCGATTCGTTTGATATGATTCAGTGTACCACAATAACGTTTTATGGGCGTGGCTGTGATCACATGCCGACATGGACGGTTCAGGTTCAGGAGACGGGCGTGGGTTTCGACCTTTCAGTTCCTGAAGATGGGGGTTTTGCTTTGCATGCCATGCTTCGAAGTTCGAATACGTAAAGGCGAGACTAGATCCGAGGTTTAAATGTCGGGTATTATTAATTAATAATTAGTTGCTCAAGGCTCCTCTAATTTAATTTGTATTACTTTTGATTTCTATTTCAATCATGCATGATGATACTAAACAGCTTTTGTAGATGTAAATACCAGCTATTTCTCGATATATGATATTATAGTTTTTTATTTTTTTGTTGTGAGGTTAACAGTTAACTACTCAAAACCTGCTATTTTCAAATATAAATATGACATTAGAGAGCAAAAAAAGTATATATAGTAGGCTTATGCAATCATCGCATCCACCAAGCTTGTATTTTGTTAATGAAAATGAATTATTTTGATTCAATTTCAGTAGGGGAACCTCGATAAAATGATAAACTATACTATTTTAGACTCATATTTAATGTCATATTGCGCATAGTTTTCATATATGTATTGTCATACTAACTTGAAACTGCTAGTAGCTTATGTGATTACTTTAATTATTTTGATCCCCTTTGGGCGGTATTTTGTGCATTTTGAGACCAAAATATCCTAGAGGACCACCTTGCATGAGTTGGAGACATCAAGGCCTAGTTGCTAGAAGTCAAAAATGAAGATTGAAGCTCAAGTCCAAACTTATGTTAGATGTAGGCGACCATATAGTTCAAGGTTGCATCCCGAGCATCGTTTCTCAAAGGACCCAGATCACCCCAGAATTGTGTGAATATTCATTATTTGGAGGTTGACCTAGAAATATGCTAGAAAAATTCGGTCAGAAGACTTTCACTCCTACTTTATCTCTGAGTAATAACCTTATGGAAGAGGTTATACATAAACTCTCTCATCGAGCATTAGAGCATGAAGTCATACAGGGAGGTTACAGTGCCTACACAACAATGTGTAAAATGAATGATTTTATTCAGATTCAGTCTTGGGTACATCTCCCAAACCCCAACAATCCTTGTTATTAATACGATGAGACAAGTTTTTAATATGGTATATGTATCTAAACGTATCGTCGAAAAATTATTTGTTTGAATTCTAATAATTTCCAATATCAACACTTAATTTAACCACGAAATATGGTCTAAGCATGTGCAAACTCTCATTTGAGTGGCAATTGTCTCGATCGTAAAGGGAACCACAAAATTAAATTGATTGATGGAAAATTTTACCCTCTTCAAAGATGGGGGATTCTTCTTCCTCTTTCCAGAATTGTACATTATTATGCCTCATTTGAGTGGGAAACACTCAGTGAAGTTCTGCATGTACACTCCTATTTCATGCAAGCAAGCTAGGCAGATCGATCCCCCAAAGTGCAAAACACGTCGGAATTGGACTAGAGTGAGCTAGTTCCCATCACAAAAACCAAAAGCAAGAAAGCTAGCTAATTCTACTAAGATAACCGACCAAATGTATGCGCATCCATGTTGTCAATCCAATAAAGCAACCCCACCTTCCGTCACATATATAAAAGTGTTAAAGGTGACAACTTTTTTTTTTATGAAGTTAAAAGTGACAACTTCATGTATTCAGAATCATGCAAAATGTTTCGTGTAGAGATTTTGGTTTCAAGACTCCTAACGTGTAACATTTTTTCCCATTCCTTTTCATAGTTTTGGGATGGCGAAATTTTATAAACATGAACACTTTGATTCAAAAAATGTAATTGTTAGTTTCTCATCCAAAGAATTCATGGAGCATACATGAACCTTACTGTTCGAAGGTGTGTTCGTCTTCTGCATGATTTTTAAGGCTGGATGATACCGTGAGTGGGTCAATTTTTCGTGATAATGTTTTCTCAAATTGATGATGTTGAATCTTGTGCGATTTTCCGAACTCCATCCATTTGCCTGCCTGTATAGTGGCGCAAAAAACCATGTTTTTGTCTTGTTTAGAGTTGACTTTAATTTTTTTAATGTTTATGTAACATCCCGAATGTTTTTTCGACAAAGATATAATCGGCTTTGGACCTAGATCCTCATGTTTTTTGCCTTGAGGTGCATATAAATGTGGCTTCCCATAAGGTCACCTCATCCTTGTAGTACTTCACAATGAACATGTTTAACTTTGGAGTTCTTACAAGAACTCCTTTATTTTACCCAAAATCCGTCTTGTTAATTAAGGTCAATTTTCTACTTATGAATAATGAATCTCTCACGTACTTTGCAGATGTGAAATTTACTAGGTGTTACCGTTTCTATCTAAATGAAAAGAAAAAAAGTCGGCCCGTCTGTGGAGCCAATTACAAATCCAAAAAACAATGTGGGCTGTCCCGGTTACTTGTGAAGTGTGCGTGTCTATAGTAGAAGCCCTTCAACGATGGGCCGGTCCAAAGAGTTTGTATCGGAGCTTGGGCCTGAAACAGCCGCGAAACTGGTTCACCTTCCCCGACCTCCCTCTCAGGCTCAGAAGCACAAAACCTACACAAGCCGCCGCCCGTCCACTCTCCCGCCACCGGATCATCATCCCCTCCTCCTCCCCCACTTTCTCTTCCTCTCTTTATTCCCCACCGCTCAGCCGCCGGCCGGAACAATCCATTTCGCCTCCTTCGCCAATTCTCTCCGGTCGTTGCACCAAAGACGCTTTTCTTGTGGTCACAAGCTTCGGGTAGGTAGTAAGCCCTTCTCCTCCCATCCATTTTTTTTCCGGCATCGAGCACTCACCGGCTTGAAAAGTAGTGCGGTTGATAGTTGATTAGATGTAACTTACACCGAAATGCCTGATGGATTCCTAGAATTTGTTTCGATGATCGTATTGCAGCAAAAGCTTGTAACGCCGAACAAACCCCTAAACCCTAGCTCAGTAGGCCATCTTAGGATCGGGAATTATCTTTTTACCGTGCTCTTTGATCTCATTTTATATGAATTTTCATCACGCAGAGACGAGTAAGAGGGAGGAAGTGAGAAAGAAAATTCAAAATGGTGGTCAGGCTCCGATTGTCGAGGTTTGGCTGCAAGAACAAGCCATTCTATCGAGTGATGGCTGCCGATAGTAGATCCCCTCGAGATGGCAAACATCTTGAAGTACTGGGCTACTACAATCCTTTGCCAGGTAATACCTTTCCCTCCAATCCCCTGAGTCTCAGAATCGTGTAGGGAATTGTTATCATTTGGTAGCATTTTGTCTGTTTGCTATTTGTGTCGTACTGATTGCTGGATATTTCGGTCACTGGTTTATAGGGCAAGATGGTGGCAAAAGAATGGGTCTTAATTTTGAGCGAGTGAAGTAAGTAACTTGACCCTTTCATTTCTTGTTTTGATCATGTTCTCTAGGTCTCTTTGAGTTGTTTTATTTACGATGTTTTGCATCTAAGATTTGTTTTCCTTAATCTAACTCATACGTGATTGGCAACAACAATAGGTCCTTTGATCTGATTGTTTTTGCTCTTTCCGTGAGATTCTTGGACGACTATATCAAAGAATGAGGTTTGGTTGTAAATGTTGAGTTCATGCTTTTGTTCAAGATAAATGTACAAACTATGGAAGTAGGAATTGTTAATAGAGGGAATAGTTAAGAGGTATCATGCCAAGAAGAAAACTTATACAGTGAAAAGAGAAGAAGCAAAGAAGTAGAAATGGGTTGAGAGACAACTATCTTTTTAAAGGACACTGCTAGTTGTTGCCTTGTGGCTGTATACCCACCAGTCTGCTAGGGCCTAGGAGATGGAAGAAATGAAAATTTTGAAAGATACGAGACGGAAAAAGATGATTTTGTCTTGAATGAGTGTACAATTGGGGATTTCTCTATTTAGGAAGTAATCATGGGGGTATCGAGGGCATATATGATGAGGCACTTGTTGAGCTTTTGATTCTTATGTTCCTCGGGGGTTTGTCAGACAGCCAACTGGTTATTGTTCCAAATTGCTGGTTCAAGAATGAATGAAAGTGCCATTTTAGTTGCTGCTTCCCTTCCTGCAGTAAGAAAACCTTATTTGTGAAAGTGCTCTGGTAAAATTTCCTCCACTTATCTGTAGTTGTACATATGCTGCCTCCTTTTGCAAGTATCCTTTAATGGCGAGAGTGATATTCCCGAGTTGGAAATCTTTAATTAATAACCGACCTCCACTCTTCAATATTTGCCCACTGTCCTTTCTATCTGTTTCCATCAGTTGTAGTATCTGATTTAGCCATGCATCGATATGCTAAATTTTTTACATGTACTGTGTGTTGTTGTAATACAAAGACTACCAATGATATTTTGCTATAAATTCACCATGCTATCTGTGTGGTTTTTTTTCTCCTTCTATTCCAGGTACTGGTTGTCAGTTGGTGCTCAAGCCTCGGACCCTGTCCAGCGGATTCTGTTCAGAGCAGGGGTTCTCCCTCCGCCACCAATGTTGGCAATGGGTCGGAAAGGTGGGCCACGTGACACCCGTCCAGTCGATCCCCTCACCGGACGAGTATTGAACACTGAGAAGCCGCCAACAACCCAATCAACATCCGATGATGCAGCTGGAGCTTCAACTTCATGAAAACTCATATCTCAGGAAGCCACCGCCCACCAGTTTCAAGTCTTATGTTTCTCTGATCATCCACTGCAAGAAAGTGACTTAGTTGAAGCGCGTAGTAGCGTTCAATGGCTTTTAAAGAGCAACGTGAGATTAGGATCATGTTCTTTTGTTCAAATTTATGGTTTTTCAAAACCCTAGAGCAGCAACTTGAAAGCAGGAATAGGTGGGCAATGGTAATATCTGAATCTTTTCTCAGTCGATGTAATTTCAGTAACTCGATATGGGTTTATAGTTGATACTTTACGAAGTATACGAGGGTGCTATGATAGTATGATTTAATGTTTGTACGGAGAGGAGAGCACCATAAAATTTTACGGTACCTTTGTTCTTTGAAAAGCAAAATAACCAGGATTTATTTTAGAAAGCCGGACAAAAGTCAAAACACGTCCTAGTGCATAATATTAATAGAATGTATCATGGTAATTTCCATGACATCATAGAACAACCTATATTCCAAGTTAGAGTGGCATACATTGAATTGATGTGTGTCAAAAGGAAGGGGTGTTGACCCTTAGAAACCAAAAATTCAACTATTATGTTCTTTCTTCTATACACATGAATTAGATTTGGGTCCGCCTGTTGGCCGTATGAATTTCGTTAATTGTATAGATAAACATAGTAATTGTCAGAAGAAAGGCATATCTTATTTCATTATCATAAAAAATTTCAAATCCGTAAGTTATACTGGTATAATTTTCAACATGCTTATCCGCTTTATTGACTAATGTCATTACTGAAAGTAAAAACCAAAAGTCGTGCAAAGAAATTGGGGTAAATGTCACATTTTGTCACTAAAATTACTAAATTGTGTCATGTTTAGTCACTAGAAAATTTTAATATCAATTTTTGTCACTCGAATTACTGAGACATATCACTTTTAGTCACTCTCCCGTTAGCCTCCGTCCAACTCCAGTCACTCGAAATACTAAACATGTCACATTTAGTCACTCGAATTACTGAAACATGTCACATTTAGTTACTCTCCCGTTAGTTTCTGTCCAACTCCATTAGAGTGACTAAATGTGACCTGTTCCAATAACTCGAGTGACCAAAATTGATATTAAAATTTTCAAGTGACTAAACATGACACGATTTAGTAATCTCAGTAACCTAATGTGGCATTTACCCAAAGAAATTGACTCCCATAAATTTAATCAGGCCATACTAGTTGCTCATCGCTGTCAAGAATTATTGCAATTTTTTATAGATTTCTTGTGATCGCTCTGCCTCTTCCCTCTAAAGCACTGTCATTTCCACCGATTATAATGCATTTGTCTTCCTTAACGAAACATGTATCTTCACAATAGGTTGTTCCTACTCTTTTTCATCAGAAGTCAATATTTAACTGTAAAATGTTTAAAACACTAAACAATACATACAGTAGAATTTACGTCTCATGAACAATTTATGAGATTTCTTCTCTCCCTAATGCAAACAACTCAGCGACCAACAGGAAAATTCGATAATTTATAGATTGAAAATTTAATGAATAATATGCAAGCGTTTGCTATTCTCCTATGAATATGTTTCTTTTTTCTTATATATCTGCATATTTCATTTACCAATTTGTAAAAATGGCTTAGGAAAGTTTAGTGTTGACAATGGAAATAATTAAACCTGCCATGAATGGCATTTTCTATCTGTGGTGGTATTTTTTATATTTGTAAATCATGAATTAGGTGGTGAGTATCATGATCATTCTATGTTGACTTTAGGAGGATTGGAAGCTTGACTAAGTTCAGTAAGGCAGGTGAGACTCACTTTCATAACAACATAATGAAAAATTGACATTGAGGAATACGATTAGAAATTGTCGCATAGATCGGGTACCATTATAGTAGAATTGATAGTCTGTGAATGCTATTATATATGCTATTATATGATGCTAGACTAACATACTTTTTTATCCTCCACATATTGACCGGATGAATTAATTCAATGATATAAATAACAATTGCAATTGGTCAAACCAAACTACTTTTTTTTTTTACCATAAAGAATTCAAATGATTCAATTATTAAAAATATCATAAAACGACATACATCATAAGTTTTATGACATTTTGATCATTCATGAATAAACACTAACTTCAATTTATTTTATTGTTAGAAATTACTGCAAAATTTATTTTGAAATTATTTGTGATTAATCCGCCATAAAAAATATCTCAACACAATTTCGTCTTCATTAATGAAATCTTTATATTTACCATCAATAGTCTCTTCCTTCTTCACTCCTACATTTCATTGGAAACCAAATTTTAAAGCTAAATTGTTTGGAAATGTGAAACATCATTTCCGCGTTAATAGAAGTTACTTCATCCAAGTCATAAATATTATTAACCATTCACTCTTTCCTCCCATCATTGAAGTTTTCATATCCACCATCAGCAATCTCTTCCTTTATCTCAATAGCGTCATTACATCCATCGCCGAATTCACTACCTCCACCATTATCATAATCTTCCCTACTATCATGCATTACACTTAATGCACAAATTTAATGGCAAAATATTTATAATTGTGTTCAAGAACTTATAAATATTTCCAACACATGTAATGAACTTTGTCCAAGATTGCTCTTTGTTGCCTTCATTATCTTCAGAATTGTGTGTGCACTTATGGGGTTTGCAGTGTTGAAATTAGTGAACTTGATATCAAAATTTGACTTTATTCCATCAGTTTGTAGGGGTGAGGTGATGAAATTTTTCTCATTTGTCATCTTTGAGTAGTTTCTTAGTTGATGTTAAAAAAAAAAAGAACTCCCGATCCAAAACAATAAAGTCAGATTCAACAATGTTGTATCTTGAATTTATAAAATATCAGCAATTGAGACACTATTTGGTCAAAATTTCATGTGTTACTTGATACAATTTTTTTCCATGAATGAATGAAGTGAATTTGAAGTTAAAAAGAATGGAAGAGTAAAGGTAGATTGCTACTTAACTAATGTTGTCTTTGATGTTGTTGTAAAACTCTTATAAATTACTCATCGTAGACTTCTTCAACTTTTCTTTGACAAGTTTAAATTAATATGATTCCGAATTGAACTTATATAATTAATGGTCTAGGCTATCATACGTCCGGCCCGAGGATACATTAGGCCACTGTACCCTAGCCTTTGCCATAATTAATATATAATGTATCATGCAACAAAATTCGGCCAATTCAAGCTCTAGATATCATTTTCTTACTCACGATATACTATATATTTGATTTACTCAAGGTACGATAGAAGCCAACATATATATATATATATATATATATATATTTAACATAATATATATTAAAGGGTTTATTAAGTCTGACGAGAATGAACTTTGGACTTACAACACAATTCCGCCTCCACAATTCTGCAGGCTAGGCCCACCTTTTGCATTTATTTATAATGAATATAAATTAAATGAATTTCACCAGAAGATCCCTCCAATCTTAGCGCAGGAAGCAGGAAAAGTTGAACTAATAGAGTTCTGAAGGAGACCCTCCATACATGATTAACCACAACCTCTCAATCACGTTCAAGAAGACTTCCAATCTTCTCAGCAAGCAAGCCATGGGAATGGTTGCTCTCTTTCTAGTTCCTGATGACATTGACTGTAGTAGTAGAATCGAGGATGAACTCGACTTTTATGAAATCTTGTTGCCATGCCATTCAAGACCAATGACAGCTCTTTTTAAGTTTTGCGCGTGTAATGGAGCATTCCTCCATATTGTTAGGCGAAATCATCCACACAATGATCAGCGCAATCCCTGATAACACATCCTGCAGTCGAATCAGTAGCTCCAATAACATAGCCATCCAATTGCACTTGAATCCACCCTTCTCTTTGGGGATTCCAACTAACCTCCTTCTCAACCAGAGTTGTTTTACTACTTACAGACTCAAGCTTGTACTCTCTTTTTAGCTTGTCGATGAATGTTGAGCCATGCTTTGGCCCTCTTAATCAATCCTTCCTCTTAATACTTCTTTCCATCCAGAGCCTCTTCATTAGGGTAAATGACACATTTGGTCACTGGGGTTACTAAAACGTGTCATGTATAGTCACTCATAAAAATGAATAATAATTTTGGTCATTCGAATTCCTGAAACAATCCATATTTAGTCACTCTCTCTTAGTCTCCGTCAAACTCCGTTAATGGAGTTCGTTATGTGCTAACATGGCTAACAGAATCGCCTAATCATCGTCGTTTTGGACCGGAAATGGTCAAACCCGACCCGCCAAGTCATTATACCCGCCATGTCATATGCCCAACTCATTAACCCAATCAGACCCATGAACGAAACTCGACCCTATTCACATCTCTACCACGCCTCCCCACTTCTCCCTCTTTCATTTTACATCGCCGGCAAACCCACCCCCTTTCGTTTCAAACCCGACCGATGATTGATTGGTTTGGGAAAATAAATTCAACAGAGATGGAGGTTTGAGAGGAAGGATTTTGGGGCTGGAGAGTGGAGATGACATGAAACAACTGAGAGAGATGCGAAAGCAGAGGGAGAGAAGAGCTTTGAAGGGTGGGTTGGGAATTTTGGGCTCGATTAGGAAGACAAATCATCTCCACAAAGATGGAGACCCGTTTTCCAGTTGAAAGCCGACTCAAAGCCCTCTAATTATGAATACAAAGAAATCCAAATCCAAAAAACGTGGTCTCTGTCGATGGCTGTGATGCTTGGACTTTCTTCTCTAAATGAATAACACAAAACCCAGATCTGAAATCAACCACTGTTTCAAATTTCAATGCTCTACTCACAGTTAAAAAAAAACCCAAAATCAACCCCTACAACCTGCAATCCCAGAATCCCCAATCGACAAAAGGAGGACGTGAGCGGTGGAGACGAGGGAGAGAAGGAGACGATGGGATGGGATTGGTAGATTGGGTGATCGTGTGTCTCGATCTGCTGCTACCGTCGAAGCGCTGTGATGTGCTCCTACAGTGTCGTTGTCGATGTGCTGCTGCCTGTAATGGAGGAAGTGAGCATAGGGGTTGATGAGCAGGGGGGAGGGTTCTGAGTGGCAAAGACAAAGAGGAGCAAGGAAGGGTTATGAGAGGAAGAGAGTGAGACGATGGAGAGGAAACAGGGTGAGTCCCAGGGATTAGGGATAGTGTCGGCGATTGAGAGGAGATGGTTTATTTCATTCAGAGGCTACTCCTAAATCCAAACTGCTATTGATATTTTTGGGTTCGGTTAACTGAAACGGAAGGGAGCCCGACTGTGAAATGGAGGGGGCGGGTTTGCCGGCGATGTGAAAAGGAAGATGGAGAACTAGGGAGGCGTGGTAGAGATGGAGAATAGAGTCGGGTTTGGTTCATGGGTCGGGTCGGGCATATGACATGACGGGTTTAGTGACGTGACGGGTCGGGTTTGACCATTTTTTGTCCAAAATGATGATGAC